TGGGATTTATTCTTTTGTTTTTTGGAGAGAGATTCTGTGCTGGATTCCCATGATGAGTAAAACCACCTCTTGAGTCCGTTGCAGGATCAGGATTCATGTTTGGCGGTGATTAAAACAGTCAGAGTTACTGTTTTTTGGGGGGAATTCAATGAAAAAACAGGTCATAAATCTGTTGACCCCTCTCCAACATTTCAGCCTGTTGCCCCAATAAACATGTACTGGAACCCCGAACGCTGATGTTGGTTTTTTGATCCTACAAGACTGTAAAACCACCTTCATCCCCCCCGTTTACAGGATGTTTGCCTCCTAACTGTACTCATTCTCCCAGGAGGTCTGCCCTGATTGTGTCTCGCACCATCATCATCTTTTTTTAAATATTTCATTTGAGTTTTTTTTGTCATTTCTGAGAGATTTGTCGCCAAAATTAGGACCTGTCACTGATCAAATACTGCAGTGCGACTTTCAAAGGAGATGCGTTAAATTTTTTGATTTAGTCAAAACACCTCTATGGTGCGAAGAAACTGCCTGGATGCTTGCAGGGGAGAGGAGGAGGAGGAGGAGGAGCCGAATGATTTAATCTGCTAATTTTGCTCAGGTCTTTTGGCTGTTGACAGGCAAGTGTAATGGTCCTTCAAGTAATGGAATCAGCCACTCAAGCAACACACACATGCACACACGCATGCAGACTCGCTCTCACACACACACACACACACACACACACACACACATTCAGCCACAGAAAGCACGCCTGTTTTGCATATGAATGACATCACCGTAAAGTTTTTTCTGGGGAGGTTTTGGCGGTTGGGGGGGGGGGGAGCGCCATGAAAGGGAAAACATTAGTCAAATCACTTCCCGCTTCAGTCGCCCACCCCGGCCAAACTACTTGACATTCCACGACAGGGCTCTCTCTGGCATTCAAGAAAAGCATCCTCACTGATCCGGACGTCCTCATCAGGACTGAGCTGCAAGTTTTTTGCTAACCTCTCCTTCATTACGTAAATACATAAGCTCCAAGAAATTGGTTCGGGGTGTGAGTGGATTTTAAGCTGCGGAAGCTGCACGCTGCCTGTACATAATGACAACACTCAGCATGGAAGCGTCGTCGTCAGGTGAAAAACCTGGTTTTGGTGATTTTCATGTTTTTAACTCAAGTTGAGGGACTGAAGGTCCTCGAGCACCAAATCTATGGGATGTCCAGCTCTGGAACAAGACTTTAAATGTAGCTTCTGTAAAACAGACATTTTGAGAACCGTGTGCGTATTTGAGCGTAGTTCGTGAAACCTCGTGCCAGAAAATGACGTAATCACAACCGGCGCACGGTGCGTGTTAGCGGCGCACGGTGCGTGTTAGCGGCGCACGGTGCGTGTTAGCGGTGCAAGTGGTCGGGGCACTGTGTCGTGCACCTCTGAATTCTTTTGTAACTTGGTGTTCACGTGTTTGTCACAAATAGTTTACTGATAAAAGCTATTATATATAATATATATAGATATAAGCGTAACACTATTTACATGTTACGGGATTATACAAAGACGGCCAATTAGTTTCAAGACGCTTTAGAAACACGAGGTCTTAAAAATCTACATTTGAGTAAATATTTTGCGGCCAAATCAAAGAGTTTACAGGACATTCAACCATTGTTTCTTTATAACACGTTTAATACTTGACTCTTTTATTTACAGGGTTAGCATGAAGGTAATAAAATAGTCCATGAATATTAGATAATCACAATCCCTGTTTGTCGTTGTGGAAGTCGGTTTATGGCTTTTGGGCTGTTACAACTACGGTCTATGGTCATATCTCTGAGTTACACTCGTTGTCTTTTTGATTCTTCAGTTCATTTTGTCTTCACTCTGGCGTTCCGTAGAACAATGCAGTGAACAGAGCTCACTGTATAAACGCCTCCGTTCATGCTCGGAGCTCGCGTGCCGTCTGCAGAGACTCATGCTATGTCTCTGCACGTGAGGGACGTCTTCATCAATATAGTTTTTCAAAAATTGTTTTTTGTCATAAATACTTTCACACAGAACCTGAATATCAAGCGACGTAAAAGCAACGGAATTATTTCCGGAACAAGGTTGGTTTTTATGAGCTTTCGAGCAGCGAATAAAGTAATTTGAGTTGCTTTTGTATTTGTGAAACATCAACACAGAGTTTAAACCAAGTTGGCAAACTTTGTTACTCGTTTCAACCTCGTGAAAAGCAGCGCAGAGCTAACATTTAAAAGCCGTTAAAACAGTACTGGAAAAGTACCACGACATTACCAAGTCCTGCATTCATGCGAGCAAAAGAATACATGAAAGAACTTATTATTCCAAATGAAATGCAATAATGTTATTATTATATGCATTAGTATAGTGGTAAAGCTTGGGAGGTTTAATCTATAACATCGCATCATATTTAATAAAGGCATCGTGTGCTTTATTTGTGAAATCTTAATCTGCAGCGTAACATTTTCCCGCAGCTTTCAGATTAAAGTTGTGGAGTAAAAAAGGCAATATTTCCCTCAGAGATGTAACGGAACAGAAGCATAAAGTTACATAGAAATGGAAATACAGATATCTCAACAATGTGACTTCCCACCACTGGTTGAACTGGTTACATGTAACTGTAACTTGAAATCTGAAGAACTTTTTATTTCATACGCCATTTAGCACTTTTTTTCCGTGACATCTTTTGACCTGCAAATCACCAAATCGGAGCTTATTGGCTGGGATCAAATCCCTGAAAGGCTCCGTGTTCGGCTGCTCAGGCCTTCGTCAGATTTCCAGATATCGTCTCTGGGAATTAAAGCAGCAATATTCTCTGGTGAAGCATAAAACCTGGAGATAGTAAACCAATCACAGGCAACAGGACACCTTTTTTCCATTTTCCCCAATCTGTAGGATTGCACCTGAATGCACCATACTGTCAGACTATTCCTTTTTCTCCTCTTCTTTCAGCCTCATTACCAAATGATAATGTAGTTTTAGCAAAACAAATGAAGCAGTTTCCTGCCGGTATATTGTCTAATCCAAGTGGAGCAGTCGAAATAACTCAAGATGTAATCATGTGAGCAACAAAAACCACAACTTTAACCGGGTCAGCGGTGCATTTTATAATGTGTACAAGGGGCGAAGCTGCTGGAGAGTCTTTATAGTCTTCACCCAAAACAATCCATCTCAACACACACACACACACACCCCCCTCTTTATTCATCATCTATATTTATTGTAGTTTGAACGCTTCACGGGAGGACGTTCCCCTAACAGCATCTGAAGCATTTCGCTGAACAGAATTGCCGTTGCAGCTCACAAAGGTGGACAGATCTGGCCGGACGCCCACTTTTTTTTCTTTCTTCTTGGCACTGACCACGTTTGTGTCCAAAGACACACACACACACACACACACATCCTCTGTCCTCTATAGCGACCGGTCGCCAACACGCTTCCCTCCAAAATCACACGGAACGGCCTACCGGGGGCGCATTCCTGCATAGCAATGACGATTCTGAGGAAACCTGTGAAAGCGGCAGCGGTCGAGTTCGTTGACCTTTGGACGTTCACCAAAACCCCCACTTTTGATTTGGTTTATGGATCCGATCTGATCCGAGCGACATTAATGTCATCGCGGCGCCATCTTGGAATCTGATCGCAGCCATTTTGTGCTTCATGTCGAACGGTGGCCACACCCAAACCTCCAATGAGAGCGGCTCCTTCAGGGTCGCTCAACACATCGAGCGTAATGGAGGCTCTTTCCTCTTTTCTTCTCTTCGCCCTCACTAACCCTTTATTTATTTTTTCAGCACGAACAAGCTATAACGTAGACTGTGATCCAACATGGCCGCAGATGACAGCCCCGGTTGTACGCCGTCACTCCGGCTCGCTCCACGGTGCTTAACGCCGACACTCGGTTCATTAAGGCCCCGTAGTGCTCGGCTAATGCAACTCGCCTCTTGGCAGCATGACAAAAAACAACTGTGAATCAGATTATGAGGCGCCGTAACGCCGCCAAGAAACACCGCGGGCCGAAGGGCGAGTTGTCGCCCGCTTGCTCTCCGGATGTTAACGCCGGGGACATAATGTAATTGCTTAATAAGAGCGCTGTAACATTTGCACGGAAGCTGCTGTTTATGTGTACGACGGCTCCTTTTAACGCGCGGCTGTAAACAAGAAGGAGGAACGGCTCGGGAAAGACTCCGCCGCCACGCACCGACGATGCAGACACCCGAGGGGGAGGAGGGGAGGAGGGCTGCGTTAAAAACCTCTTTCATTGAATTACACGAGACTTCGTCGTAAAAGATGGAGGGGGGGTGAATGAAAACCTGTACTGTAAAAGGGTTACATTTCATTTGTTTTACAGTGGGATCGCCCGCTTTTACATGACAATGCTAATGAATTGCGGGGGGGGGGGGCCCATATGTCGAACGTTGGCGCGTTCGCCATATGTGGTGTCAACACCGGGGCTGCACACGCGGGTGAGACGGAGCTCTTTGTTTCTCCCCGGTAGGACGGCCATGTGTGCCGATGCATTTTTGGGTTTATTACTCCTCTACACGACAATAATGAGGTCAGGGTTTTTCACTACTGGAGCATCTTAGTGCCGATGAATACGCTGATGAAAAACAGGACGGAGCTCTGCTGTTCCTCTCGCAGCTCGATGCCAAACACTCCAGGAAATAAACCCACATCCCTGATGGTGTTTTTGGAAGATTGTTTGATCTCAGGGGGAATGTTGATAATCTTTTCATTTGGCTGTAATATTACGCTGGAGCTGAATCACAGTTGATTTCTCTGTAGACGTTACTGACGCCAATAAAAAAAGGGAACACATTTGAGTAAATTTAGATTTTTGTCTCTTTTTTTAAATCGTCGTGTCTCCCTTAATAGTTTCTTACATTTATGTATTTCACTGAGTTACATCACTATAAGATTTTATATTTACTGCTGGATGTCCAACCTTCCCATTGATGATCTCATGCACGTCAAATAGAAGAAGAAAGATACATGCACACCAGCCACTTCTTTCCCATTGTTTTCAATGTAAACCTTTATTACTATTCCAACACATTTTTCCATACAAAGGCACATGTGGTGAACACTCATCCGCAGCCATTAGATTGCACAACACAAACAAGGCTGCGCACATAAAAAACAAAAATAGCTACATGGAGGCGTAGCTCAATAGATATGTTTAATCTGCATTTAAGAAGAAAAAATGAGATCTTAGTGCAACCGATTTAATTATTTCAGACCACAATTCAGGGTTTTTATGCCCCTGGACTTTTTTTTTTTTTTTTTTGCTAAAGATTAAGAACATAATTTCAAGCTTATCCAGGCAGATAAGTAATTGTCTTGAGCACTGGGATGTGCATGATTATCAAAAGAATACATTTTCTAAATTAGGCCAAGATAGTCTCCCCCTTGAATCAATTGCAAAAAGCACTGCATAGACATAAGATTGTTTAAAGTAATATGTAAAAGATTTGCATAGATTACCAATCGTAATAAAAGAATTTGCCACTTCCCGAAAAATTAATATAGAATGAATTAGGCTGCGATAATACTTTGCTTTATTGCACTTCTGTGTGTGTGTGTGTGTCTGGGTATGTGTGTGTGTGTGTGTCTGGGTGTGTGTGTGTGTGTGTGTCTGGGTGTCTGTATGTCAAGGACAGGATATTAAGACAGTGTTTGAAGCTGATGTATTTGTCATGTCTCTCCCGGCGATGCAGGTTAGCTGCTGTGAACCAAACTGCTGCGTTTTAATGGCGCGGCGTGTTCTGTATACACGCAGCCCACGAGCCCCACTCAGCTACTTCCTGCTCACCAAACACACTTTGAATATTAAACGCGCCGGTCCACGTTTACTCAAGACTGGCTGCACAGTCTCACCAAAGTCTGTTAAGGCTGCGAATATGAGATTCGATGCATTATGAAACTGAGCTGTGTCATTTGTCACACACACACACACACACACACACACACACTCTGACTGTAATATCTGTATTAGCAACAGGAATGTAGGCTTCTCAAAAAACATTTTTCTTCATCTTTGAAGCCCAAAAGTAAGAATCCAGAGTGAGGATGAAAAAGGGGCTCCAAGCCCCAAAAAAAGAAGATAAAACAGTTGCATAGAGTATAAAGACGACAGCTCACTCCTTCGCCACTGTGTCAGCCGACACACGGAGCTGTCCAATCGCAGTGCAGTATTATTCACTGCTGCCGTGGGTCTCACATTCACGTGTCTCTGAGTCCTAGCAACTACAACAAAAAACAGGAACCCAAGAAAAAACGTGGGCGACGACTCAACAAATGAGACCTACAGTAAGTGAAGCCTATATGTTAGCTGAAGATGCTTTATATTCATGTCTGTTGTTGTTGTACATATACTAAGAATAATAATTACAAAGTGCCACACCCTCAAGAGTCACAACACTTGTGGAGCAGTTCGTTCTCAAGCTGCTGATCGTCTTCCCCCCATAGTCACAGTCCACGAGGCGTTCTCAGCCAGTCCTGCTGGGGTCAGATGATGCGTCACACGGCTGCGACGAAAGAGGTGCGGACGAAGCGGCGACGTTTCCAAAGTCACGGGCAGGAATCGTGCGCAGGAATCAGCCGCCGTTCTTCGTGTTTGTTCCCGGCCCGAAAAGGAGACGTCCCGCTGTCCCCGCAGTAGTGCCGCTTCAGATCGCACCTCGGCTCCGACAACATTCACCTGCAAAGAGAAAGATGACATTAAGATGGGGGCGTCGACTCCTGCGGGTTTGAAAAGAAAGTTTACTTTAAAGAATCGGTCACGTTACAAAAAATCTGTAAAAACTTTGTAAATAGAGGTTGTAAAAATGGAAATATTACGTTTTTATCTTTTTAGAGATGAATGACGTATATGACTGTGTTATTGCGGTGAAGAAAAAGTAACAGAGCAAAAAGTGACCGAACTGCTTGGGGTTAAACATGAACAATAAGTGACGGGGACATTCCTCGTGTGTCCTAAATCTGGGCCGAAGTAAGCGCAGCTCCGTGTACCGGCTGAAGGGAATGTGGGGGGCCAAAGTTGAAAGGCCTTAACAGGAGCCTGGTACGCTACGAGCTGCTAATACAAAGAGAAAGCATGTGACGCACCCTAAGCTAGGCTGAGTTGGACTTCAAACCCCACTTTTTTCTTTTTTTTACATTTTCAAGCAGCTCAGACAAGCAACTTAAAATATTACGGCGGGTCACTGAGTGCAGAGTGAACCGATAACGCAGCCGTCCAGCTTAGCAGCAGAAACCAACAACCATCGTGCTAATTAGCATCGCCTGAGATATGAGCGAGCGGCGTGTTACTCTTGGCATTTAGCACAACGCCCGTTGTTCAGAGCGGGTGCACTCAGGGCCAGGGAGGAAGGGAGGAGGTGGGGGAGGGGGGTGTAGTATAAAAGGTAGTTTCGGGTATTGGTGTCGCTTTGACTTATTGGCATCATGGTCTTGTTTTGTTGAGAGGACTACAGTGAATAAGCTTGTTAATGGTAAATTTACAGCCCCAGCATGTGGCCTAATAAAACCAGGGGATAGAGGGGATGATGAGAATGATTGCGATGTTGTGTGTGCGTGTGTGTGTGTGTGTGTGTGTGTGTGTGTGTGTGTGAT